CTAAAAATGGCCTTAATGTCTGCACCAGCGCCCTAGCTCTGCCTGATATCACTAAGCCCTTTCAGCCCTTGTCTCTGAGACTCGAGGCATTGCCAAAGGGGTCCTAACCCAATCCTTAGGGCTCTGGAAGAGACCAGTTTCCTACTTATCTAAGAGATTAGACTCGGTAGCCTCCGGCTGGCCCAAATGCCTGTGAGCCATAGCAGCTACTGCTATTTTAGTTAAAGAAGCATCCAAGCTAACCCTAGGGCAAGACCTCTAGATTATTGGGGCACACTCTGTTGAGGCTCTCCTCAGGAGCCCTCCAGACCAGTGGATGTCTAATGCCCGGATCACCCAATACCAGGTACTCCTCTTAGACTCCTCCCAAATCCAGTTCCTGAAGACCTCTGCCCTCAACCCGACCACCCTGCTGCCTGACAATGACCCTCAGACATGATTGCTTCATGATTGCTCAGACATTCTTGAAACTCTAACTAATCCGAGGTCTTACCTAGCTGACAACCTTCTCCCAACTCCAGAGCATACTCTCTATACAGATGGGAGCAGCTTCATCCGGGAAGGAGTCCAATATGCAGGAGCGGCGGTAGTCAGGCAAGATAAGGTCATCTGGGCCCAGCACTAGGGCACAGGACTTCAGCTCAGAGGGCTGAGCTAATTGCTCTCACTCAGGCTTTAAGATGGGCGAAAGGCAAGTCAGTAAATATTTACACTGACAGCCGGTATGCCTTCGCCACAACCCATGTTCATGGAGCCCTCTACCAAAAAAGGGAATTCCTAACCTCAGGAGGGAAACAGATCAAAAATAAAGAAGGAATTCTTGCCCTCTTAGAGGCCATTTGGCTACCAACAAAAGTGGCCATTATCCACTTCCGGGGCCACCAGAACTTTGACATCCCTGAAGCTAAGGGGAACGCCTTCGCCGATCAGACAAAGGAGGCTGCCCTAAGACCAGTGGGGCCACTAGAGATCCTTCCTGTCCTTCCAGGGAAAAGCCTCCCCAAGGAGCCCTCCTGTACCCAAGAGGAGGAAGAACTTGGACGGAGGCTCAACTGTAACCAGGGGCTGCACGGCTGGAGGCTTCTCCCCAATGGGAGGATCCTCTTACCTGCGGCCCTAGGCCAAGAGCTGATCTCTCAGCTCCATCAGGGCACCCACCTGGGCAGGACTAAACTTTCCAGTCTCATAGCCCGGGATTTTTATGTCCCAAACCTCAACAGATGGATAGAATCTGAAATAAGGAGATGCCCTGCCTGTGCCCAAGTCAACTCTCACCCTCAGGAAACAACAGACCTTGGGACCCGAGAACGAGGCACAGCTCCTGGTGACCACTGGGAAATTGACTTTACTGAGGTCGCCCCTGGCCAATATAGCTATAAATATCTGCTTGTTTTCATAGATACCTACTCCGGCTGGACTGGGGCTTTTCCTACCAAGACTGAAACTACAACCACAGTAACCCGGTTACTGCTCTCTGAGATAGTCCCCCGATTTGGCATCCCTCTAGCTCTGGGCTCCGACAATGGCCCTGCATTCATTGCTCAAACCACAAAATTGTTAGCTAAAGCTTTAGGGATTACCTGGAAATTGCATTGTGTCTACAGGCCTCACAGTTCAGGACAGGTAGAAAGAATGAATAGGACATTAAAGGAAACTTTAAGTTCCACCTTGAGACGGGCCGTAACTGGATAAGGCTCCTTCCTTTTGCCCTCCTTCATGTGCACTGTACCCCTTATCTTAGGGTTTCACCCCATTTGAAATCATGTTTGGCTGACCTCCCCCTATTTTACCCAAATTCGGGCACGAGGTCTTAGCCAACCTAGGTAACCATAAACTCCTCAGTTCTCTGCAGGCAATCCAGAGGCTGAGAGAACAGACCCAACAGCTAGTCAAGGACGCCAGACCCCAACCGGGGACACCCCAGATACCACTGCACGACTTCACCCCCGGTGACTGGGTCTGGGTCAAGATACATCAGCCTGCTTCCCTCGAGCCTCGCTGGATTGGCCCTTTTTCCTGTTATCCTGACTACGCCCACCACTCTGAACTTAGCAGGATGGACATTTTGGATTCACCACACTCAGGTAAAGAAAGCACACCCTGAGCAAATACCTGAACAATGGGCCTTCCAGCGGACCAAGGATCGCCTGAAGATAAAGCTCTGCAGGGTTTCCTCTTAGTTTCTTTCCTGACTCTGATCACCAGTAAAGCACCTACCCAATTTAGATGCACTCAAGGGCGGCCACTGCTATGAAGGTACAGGCCCCCACCTGACCCTCAGAGACCTACAAGGACAGGGACATGCTTCATCATCGGCAACTATGACCTAAGCTCTTCCCCTTATGTGGACTCATGAGGGGACACTACCACCCTAACCCCATGAAGCCCCTCTTCACAAGAGACTTGGGTCCTAACTGCACCCCCCGGGTTTGCTTGCGCTTCAGGAGTGACTCCCTGCGTCTTTCCCGTTGAACCCAATGTATTCTTGCTAATATTATTCCACAGGTTTATTTCTTCTCCATTTAGCCTTAGGAGAAACCTGTTGCTTTCATGCTCACCAATCTGGTATTATTAGAGAAAGCATAAAATTAGTTAGACGGCGACTAGATGAATGAGAACAGGCTCTATCCACCTCTAAGAATTGGTATGAGAACCTCTTTAATTGGTCCCCATGGTTCACTACTCTTATCAGTGGTCTTGCGGGCCCCTTAATCCTCCTCCTATTAATATTAACTTGTGGCCCAATCCTGATTAATTGCTTAATGCAATTTTTTAGAGAAAGAGTACAGGCTGTTAAGCTCATGGTTCTTAGCACTCCCTATCAGAGGCTAGCCACAATAGAAGGAATTGAAGACACTTTAGAAGCAAGGATTTGATTTAACCCTAACACCAGTGGGGAATATAAAGGACAAACACATGCTATGTGAATGTACAGTAAAATTTTTTCCCATTACACAGACCTTACCCCCTGGATTTTAAGAGAATGGCAAGAACTAGCTGCTAATAGATAACCACTGCATTGTATAGATAACCACTGCTTTGTGTACACAGAAACTGCTTGCTCCCTCAGGCATGACAGCTAACTGCAAATATCTGCTTCTGTACATGCTTGCTTGCTCGCAAACCCTTAGCCCAAATTTCTTAACAGGGGTAAGACAACTATATAAGCAGCCCTCCCCCTGAGCTCGGGGCTGCTCTCGCCTCTGTGTATGATGGGACACTCACCATGAGGCTAATAAAGCTCTCTTAATTTGAACCCAGTTCGGAGTCTGAGTCTGGTCTGTCTTGCTGGTCTACAACAATTGGTCCATGGGCCAATGCTCTAACCACTGAGTCAAACCGGCTAGGGCTAAACCAAAGGTTTTAAGCTACAATACAAATGAGATTTTTGCTTTGCTTTGCTTTGCTTTTTAAATTTTTGTTGTTGTTTCGAATCCTTACCCAAGGATATTTTTCCATCAATTTCCAGACAGAGTGGGAGAGAGTGTGTGTGTGTGAGAGAGAGAGAAACATCGATGTGAAAGAGACATATCAACTTGTTGCCTCCCACACGGCCACAACCAGGGCTAGAGATCAAACCTGCAACCTGGGTACATGCCCTTGACCAGGAAGCGAACATGTGACTCTTCAGTCTTCAGGCTGATGCTCTAACCACTGAGCAAAACCAGCCATGGTCACTTTGATGTTTTTATAGAAGAACCACCTCCAGTACCAACCTCTATATCATTTAATGTTCAACCAGAGAAACAGAATCAGGAGTGGTCTGAACTCAATTTGCATAGGGAACTAGGGAAATTATACACGTGTGGGCACATAGATACATATACACATACATAAAGACATTTATTATAAGGAATTGGCTTATACACTTGTGTGGCCTGGATGGGCAAGAACAGATTTCTAGGGCAGGCCCTTGGAAGGGCAGGCTGAAACTGGCAGGAAAGAAAGCTGCTGTGAATGGGTGTGATTTCCTTTCCCTGGGGGATGCTGAAGCTTTGCTCCGAAGACTTTCGGTGGTTGCATAAGCCCCGCCCCGATTATTGAGGATGATCTCCTTCACAAAAATCTGAGTCTATAATTCAATCAATCCACAAAATACCTTCACAGCAACCCATGGGTTAGTGGGTTTTCTTAATAACTGTGGAGTCTAGACTAGCCAGGGTGACATGTAAACCATATGATCAATAATGGAAAGGAATGTGTCAGTAAGAGCTGAGAAAACAGGAAAAGTACAAAGTGAAGTCAGGATATCTATAAAGTATTATAAATACTATTGTCAAGCAAAAAAAAAAAAAGAATCAAGAGTTCTAAAACATTATAGAGAAAAAAATGCTTATATCTGTATACATGTAAACTAGAGAGCACAGATTCTAAGTCATATTTGAAAAGATATTAAAAGGTCTGAGCCAGCGGGAGATCACATCCACAGCACAAGGCCAATGGAGAGCAAAATGGCTTTACTGCATGCACCTGGAGGCAGGCGGGCTGAGCCCAAAAGGGGTCAGCCTCCAATTAGGGTAGGGATGTTGGTTTTATACTCTACTTTTAGCTTCCGGCAGTTCCTGCTGATGTACTCTGTCTGGCCCATTGTCCACTTTGCAGTAGGGCTGGTCTGGTATCTCGTCCACATCTGCTGGGTTATCCATTGCCTTGAGGATAATCCAGATGAACCTTATCTGTACTCAACAAAAGGCTGAGCAAAGGTCATGCAAGCAACAATTCCCCCAGTTTCTGCCTTTTGCAAACTTTTACCTTTACCCTTTAAAACATTACTAACCTTTCAGATATGATCAATGTAAAGTTGCCTGGTAGAATCTGTACTGCTTCTTCATCTGATTACTTAAAACTTCTTTCTAAATGTGTTAAATATCTAATTAAGGGATTAGATAAAAGGGTACTTAAGAAACAGGTGGGTCATCCGGGCATTGATAAGCCCTGTGACTTGGAGAGCTGCTTAGTTGCCCACTCGTCTCTGCGGAATCCAGGTAGCTCTGCCCAAGATGGATTTGAACAGTACTGCAAGTGGTAAGTTGCCATCTGCTTTTCGCTCTCTTTGATAATGTCACGTGCCTTATTTATTTTCCAGAGTCTTTTAAGGTCACAATCACAATCACGATTAGAGATATAGACTGTGGGAGCCAGGAGTGTTTTACAGTGATATGTTGTGTTAGGGGATTGATGGCTGCTTTAAAGATAGAGACTTGGAATTAAATAAAGATAACAGGGAACATTTGGGCAACATACCTGATATAAGAGATAGCCATGAGTAGCCCAGACAGTATAGTTCACTGGGCTGAGTGTTATCCCAGGCACCAGAGGTCACTGGTTCATTTCCCGGTCAGAGCACATGCCCAGGTTGTGGACTCACTCCCCAGTAGGGGGTGTGCAGGAGGCAGCCAATCAATGTTTCTATCTCTCCCTTTTTCTCTCTCTAAAACCAATAAGAACATTTTTTTTTTAAAGAGAGAGAGAGAGCCATGAGTCCCATATGCGGCTTGTCAGAAGTTTTAAAGTTGACACTTAAAATAAAGAAAAATATAAATGGGATACCTAAATATTTTATATTTAATTCTACTAAAAATATATTTTTATCACAAAGTACCAGTTTTTGTGTATTTTATTTATCCTAGTAATTTTTCCATATGTTACTTGTATCATTTATTTCCACTGGTTTACCCTGGCCGGTTTGGCTCAGCGGTTAGAGCGTTGGCCTGCAGTCTGGAGAGACCCGGGTTCAGTTCCCGCTAAGGGCACGTACCTCGGTTGCAGTTTGTCCCCGGCCCTGATTGGGTCATATGGGTGGCGATCACTCGATGTGTCCCTTTCATGTCGATGTTTCTCTCTATCTCTCTCCCTCCTACTCCCTCCTACTCTATCTGAACAAAATATCAAAAAATGTCCTTGGGTGAGGATAAAAATAAATAAATAAATAAATAAATAAATAAATAAATAAATAAATAAATAAATAAATAAATAAATAATATTTCCACTGGTTTTCCTAGCTCCCACTGCTTGCTAGTCTCTTCGCATGTAATTTTGTGGGTTTTCCAGTAACTTCTTCCTTTGATAACACAGGCTGTCATTTTTCACTGTTGTAACTATATGTCTCCAGTTTAGCATGACTTTAGCTGTATCCCTAAAGTAAAAACACAGAATAATCATTGGCCCTACAGGCTTTCAACCTGAAATAAACATAAGACATATGCTCACACAGTTTTTAATCCATAAACACATCCTTCACAATCCTCTCCCCATTTTCTCTTCATCAGGCTCACTACAGAAAGAAACCTGTCAAGTCAGGATTGTCTACAACCAGAGTCAAAAGGCTATCCTTCAAAAACAGTTTGATCGAAACCCTTACCCTGATACAGCTACTAAGAAACAGTTGGCCAAGAAAACAGGCATTCCGGAGTATAACATTCAGGTAAGCAGTAGGTTTCTATTTCATCATCTGTCAGAGTCAAGGTGAATAGAAAAGCTGGGCTCAGCACCAGCAGGCAATTAATTCTCTTATGTCAAGTATGTTGCCCAGAAGGTTTTTCCTATTATAGAACATTAAAAACAAAATAAAAGGGACAAGAAATCTGTTTATATTTTTTACCGGTGGGGGAACTATTGATTGGGTATATTCACTGATGGAGGATGGATTATATACTGACTCAGGCCCTCCCATAGGAGATACTTAAATCAATTTTAGTGAATATAGGAAATCAGATCATTATGATAATGATATGGTATCAGTAAGTATTAAAATACACACTGCAGAATAATAATTAATATGTAATTACCAGGAAAATGTGGGGCAAGAACTCATGTAAGTTCTCAATTTTGAGACTAGGTTTTCTTTTTTTAAAATTAATATCTTAAATGTGATTCATAAACAGGAGTGTATGAAGTAAAATCCCATATTGTATTATTTTGTATAGAATTACTCATGTAAAACTGAAACTAAATTGGATTTCTTCAGTCAGCAAGAAGACAACTGTAAACAATACCAAGTGAAACAGTATTTAAAAGCAATGAAGCACAGCTGGTGTTGCTCAGTGGTTGAGCATCGACCCATGCACTAAGAGGTCACAGGTTTGATTCCTGGTCAGGGCACATGCCCAGGTTGTGGGCCCGATCCCCAGTAGGGGGCATGCAGGAGGCGGTCATTCAGTGTTCTCTCTCATTGATGTTTCTATCGCTCTCTCCCTCTCTCTCTAAAATCAATAAAGAAAAAATTTTTAAAGCAATGAAGACAGGGTGCTCAGAGTAAACCGGAGTGAGCCAGAGCACAGTGTAAAGGGGGTGGCCAAGGGGCCTGGGTTCAAATTTGATAAAACAAAATAAAAATGTTTTTAATAAAAAAGCAATGGAGATGGCAGCCACTCGATGTGTCCCTTTCACATCGATGTTTCCCTCTCTCTCTACCTTCCTCTCTCTCCCTCCCACTCTATCTGTACAAAAAATGGAAAAAATGTCCTCGGGTGAGGATAAAAAAAAAAAAGCAATGGAGACAAGTAATAGTGTTGTAACCCAGGAGATCGACCACACTCAGACTCCATTTTTCAGTTTTTGGGGATGTTTTATTACCTGCGCAGGGACTGCAGCCAACCTACACAGAGGAGAACTGCAGCCCGAGCTCAGGGGGAGGGTTGCTTATATAGGGCAGGGGTCAGTCAAGAGTTTAGCAGAGCAAGCAAGCTGCTTGTACAGAAGCGGAGGCAGTTAGCGATAAGCAGGAGGGAACGGAGGGGGGGAGGGAGCTGAGGCGAAAGGGAACTGGGTGAACTGGGTCAGCATACATCTGTTCTGCTATTCATTCCATTATCCAAGTTTTAAAAACTAACAAATTCGAGACAGATATCAGCGGTCAGTCAGTAGGTGCTTTTAGAGGAAAATGATGAGTCCAGATTTGGCTACAGGTCTTCAGTCTGATGAGATGCTGGGAAAAATAATTTATTTCTTTACACATCGAGTGGCTGCCACCCGCACAACCGACCAGGGCCGGGGACAAACTGCAACCGAAGTACGTGCCCTTAGCGGGAACCGAACCCGGGTCTCTCAGGACCGCAGGCCGACACTCTAACCGCTGAACAAAACCGGCCAGGGCTATTTCTTTACTCTTTATGCATGTGTTCCGGGTGTGGGAGACAGAGCTTACTCAAAGCTCATCCTATGGGAATAGCTGGTAATTAGCTGAATGAGAGATATTGGGGCCATTTGAATTGATGTGGAAAATGGCAATTCCAGAAGACAATGTAGGATTAGGTTGACTCTGCCATAGTGTGCACTAATATATTCATTAGTTTCCAGGGTCCACCTGTGCTTAAACTTATCTAAAACTTATATATATATATGAGAGAGAGAGAGAGGGAGGCAGCTTGAAAGGCACCAGAGACCAACAGGGAAGAACTGAGTTGTTTAGCACTGGGGCGAGAGCGGGAGAGGCAGTATTCCCCCGGATAGATATGCTGGAGGAGGCTGTTGTTCCTTTGGTGAGCCCTTCCCTGACCAGACAGTCAGACGCCATATCTGGGTCTCCAACAACCTGGTTCACACTGTTTGCCCCACCCTGATGATTCCCTGAGGCCCTGCCCCACCCAACTTTCAGGCCCACCCAAGCTATTTCCAGTGGCTTTTCCATAGGATTGGCCTGTCTTGGATCCTGCTTCAGATTTTACTAAATTCTATCAAACAAACAGCACCTGGCCTCAGCAAGCTCCATATTTCTAGCTAACTGGCCCTAGGCCTGGAACTAGAAGCAGCCAACCTTGGTTCACAGCTTGGCTTTGCCTGGGCACCTCCAAGCCCAGCACAAGAAGCAGCCATCTGTAGATTGCTTTGTAGCTTATGCATAGTGGTGCCAGGTAGAACACAAGCAGAGGCTGACTGCCCCAGAGTCAGCACACCCAATAGACATCTTCAGAACACATCAAAGCACCACCACCCAACCACCTCCACAAGTAACACACTCAAAGAGTGGATTCAGTGGGTACCAGAGCCCTGCTGAAGTAAGCCTTGCTCTGTATGGTGAGCTCTACACAGCTGATCCTCCAAGCTAATCAGAGTGCACAGCCAGTCCTTGCAGCTGATCAACCTGAGTAAATCCCTCCCATTGATGTGGCAACAACAATCAATCAGTCAGAAATGAAGGATGCACTAACTGGAATAAAGAATAATTTACAGGGAATCAATAGTAGAGTAGGTGAAGCCAAGAAGCAAACCATCAATTTGGATATAAGGAAACAAAACACACCCAATCAGAACAAAGAATCCAAAGAAATGAGGGTAGTGTAAGGAGCCTTTGGGACAACTTCGAGCATACCAACATTTGCATCATGGGGGTACCAAAAGGAGAAGAGAGCGAGCAAGAAATTGAAAACCTATTTGAAAAAATAATGACAGAGCCCTGGCTGGTTTGGCTCAGTGATTAGAGCGTTGGCCTGCAGACCATAGAGTCCCTGGTTCAGTTCCTGCTAAGGGCATGTACCTCAGTTGCAGTTTGTCCCCGGCCCCAGTTGGGGGTGTGTGGATGGCAGCCACTCCATGTGTCTCTCTCACATCGATGTTTCTCACTCTCTCTTCCTCCCTCTCTCCCTCCCGTTCTATTTGAGGATAAATGCAAAACTGTCCTTGGGTGAGAATTTAAATAATAATAATAACAACAACAGAAAACTTTTCTAACTTGGTGAAGGAAACATACATACAAGTCCAGGAAGCACAGAGAGTCCCAAGCAAGATGAACCCAAAGAGTCCCATCCCAAGACACATCATCATCATCAAAATCCAAAAGATTAAAGACAAAGAGAGAATCTTAAAAAACTACAAGAGAAAAGCAGTTAGTTACCTACAAGGGAGCTCCTATAAGATTGTCAGCTGATTTATCATAAGAAACTTTGCAGACCAGAAAGGAGTGGCAAGAGATATTTAAAGTAGTGAAAAGCAACAACTTACAACCAAGATTATTCTATCCTGCAAAGCTATTATTTAGAATTGATGGACATATAAAGAGTTTCTTAGACAAGAAAAGGCTAAAGGAGTTCATCACCACAAACCAGTATGACATGAAATGAAGGAGGAGGAGGAGGAGGAGAAAATGAAGAGAAAGGAGAAAATGAAGGACAAAATGAAGAAGGAGAAAATGAAGAAGAAAAATATGAACAATAAAATGGAAATAAATAGATATCTACCAACAATTGAATCTACAAATAAAATGAGCAAGCAGAACAGAAACAGACTCATAGATACAGAGAACATTTTTTTTTATCCTCACCCAAAGACATTTTTTTTTTTTTGCATTTCAGATAGGGAGGAAGAGAGAGAGAGAAACATCGATATGAGAGAGACACATGGAGTGGCTGCCACCCACACAACCCCAACTGGGGCCGGAGACAAACTGCAACCGAGATACATGCCCTTAGCAGGAACCGAACCCGGGTCTCTCTGGTCTGCAGGCCGACGCTCTAACCGCTGAGCCAAACTGGCCAAGGCAATACAGAGAACTTTTTGATAGGAGGGGTCTGGGGAAATGGGTAAAAAACATGAAGGAATTAAGAAGTACAAATTGTTTGTTAGACTTATGAACTTCAAAGGGAAGGGGGAGGGAGGGCAGGAATAGATAAACCAAAAAATGTACATGCATATATGCATAACCAGTGGACACAGACAATAGTGTGAGGAAGGCAGGAGAAGGGAGGGAGCGGGGAGAGGAAGTCAATGAGGGGGAAAAGGGGAACATCTGTAATACATTCAACAATAAAGATAGGTTTCAAAATAAATAAATAAATAAATAAATAAATAAATAAATAAATAAATAAATAAAAATATTTTTATTATAATTTAGGAAGCAGATATAACCTTTTAGCACAATACCTGGGATATAAGAGTGGTCCTTGGATACTGGTTGTCATTAATAGTCTAACTGTTGTCATAAATGATCTAATTATAATATAAAACATTCAGCAATAATTAGAAAGTGTGTTGCAATTCTGACTCTAGTAATGAGAAAACAAAGAGTTCACTTGTTTATTTTAGTGACAGTAGTCTAACAGCGAGATATATAGGGTCTCTAGGAATCTCCTTATCTATTGTTGACTATGGGACAAAATAAGAGGAAATGTGGACAAGTGTTAGTCCAGCTCTTGACTGTAACTAATTCTACTCCCCAGTTAAAGAAATAATTTTCCAAGGTTATGTCCATGTGTATTTTGTTTTATGAAATAAATGGTATTTCTTATGAAGAGATAATGGGCGCCAAGAAGACACTTAATTTTTTTTTCATCCTCTCCTGAGGACATATTTGCACTTATTTTCAGATAGAATGGGAGGGAGAGGGGGAGGAAAAGAGAGAGAGAAACATCGATGTAAGAGAGACACATTGAGTGGTTGCCACCCACATGACCCCAACCGGAGCCAGGGACAAACTGCAACCAAGGTACGTGCCCTTAGCAGGAACCGAACCCAGGACTCTCTTGTCCACAGGCCGATGCTCTAAGAGCTGAGCCAAACTGGCCAGGGCCCTAGAAGACATTTAAACATTAAAGATCTGTTATAAGAAAAAGGGAGAGATTGGTGGAGAGAGATACTAATTTCCTTTGTGAAAACCAACAGTGTCTCTTAAATCAGAAAGATTTACTTGGTATACCATGAGGATGACCATGAAAGAAATGCTAGTTAGAGCTGAGAGCAGATTGTGTGCTGTCCTGAATTGTATGCCAGTTGTTATGTTGTAGGACAATGAAAAGCTAGGAAAATTCTGGGACAAGAGGAATAGGGAAACTAAGGCAGGAAAGTTAAACAAAGCCAAAAAGCTTTGCAGGCTGCTTGTAGCAAGGCCTTACGTTGAGAATGCAAGGTTAAAACCTCTCTTTCTCACAGAAGAATGCAGGAGAGGAAGGGGAATGGAAGGCAGAGGAGGAGGAGGAATCAGAGTTCACTTAGTGCAAATCATCCCAAAGTTGTTAGGACAGAAGGGAGGAGAAAAGAAGAAGAGTATTAACAAAAAAAGACCAGGAGTCTGGATTTAATTGCCAGGTACCTCCCATAAATTATGGAAAAGCCATAACAAAGGAAAGGGGAGACTTTTAGAGTTAATCTGTACCAGGATGTCTAGCAAAGAAACTTTCATTTATTTATTTTTTATTATTTTATTTTTGTTGCAGATGCATCTCCTTTTTCACCCCATTGACACCCTCTTCCCCATCCCCCCCACCCCATCCCCAGCTTTGTTGTCCATGTCCATTGGTTATGCATACATGCATATAAGTTCTGTGGTTTATCTTTTCCCACCCCCCACCACCCCCTCTTCTGAGGGTTGTCAGTTTGTACCCTATTTCCGTGCTTCTGGGTCTACCCTATTCCTCAGCCTGTTATATTCATTATATTCCATATATAAGTGAGATCATGTGGTATTTGTCTTTTACTGCTTGTCTTGTTTCGCTTAGGATAATACTCTCCAGGTCCCTCCATGTCATCTCAAAGGATAAGAGATCTTTCTTTCTTACAGCTGCATAGTACTCCATTGTGTATATGTACCACTGCTTTTTTATCCATTCGTCTACTGATGGACACTTGGGCTGTTTCCAGGTCTTAGCTATTGTAAATAGTGCTGCTATGAACATGGGGGTACATACATTTTTTCTGATTGGTATTTCAGGCTTCTTCGGGTATATTCCTAGAAGTAGGATCACTGGGTCAAATGGAATTCAATTTTTAATTTTTCGAGGAAACACCATAGTGTTTTCCATAGTGGCTGCACCAGTCTGCATTCCCACCAGCAGTATACTAAAGTCCCCTTTTCTCCACACCCTCGCCAACACTTGTTGTTTGATGATTTGTTGATGGCGGCCATTCTGACAGGTATGAGGTGATACCTCATTGTTGTTAGCAAAGGAACTTTTTTAAGAAACGTATAGACAGCCCTGGCCAGTTTGGCGCAGCGGTTGGAGCGTCAGCCTGCGGCACTGAGAGACCCGGGTTCGGTTCCCGCTAAGGGCACGTACCTCGGTTGCAGTTTGTCCCCGGCCCTGGTTGGTCGTGTGGGTGGCAGCCACTCGATGTGTCCCTTCACATCGATGTTTCTCTCTCTCTCTCTCTTTCTCCCTCTCTCCCCCCCCCCCCCCCCCCCGCTCTATCTGAACAAAAAATGGAAAAATGTCCTCGGGTGAGGATAAAAAAAAAGAAAAGAAAAGAAACGTATAGACAGAAGAGTATACAAGGCAGAAACTGTCCACCCTACTTGCTCTTCAGATTAGCTGAGAGCCCATCTGTGCTTCATAAGCCAGATGTATAGGTTTGCCTGCTTTGTTTCATTAATAAATGTGCATGCATTGTCCAGCTGGTGTGGCTCAGTGGTCGAGCATCGACCCATGCACAAAGAGGTTGCCGCAGGTTCAATTCCCGGTCAGGACACAAGCCCAGGTTGTGGGCCCAACCCATCTCTCTCTCTCTCACTTTCTCTCTCTCTCAAATCAATAAAGAAAAAAAAAATTTTAATAAAATAAAATAAATAAATGTGCATGCTTTAATGTTTTAATAAATTCACTTGCATTAATGTTTTAATAAATTCACTGAACAAAATGCAAATATTACCTAGAGTCTCATGTAAATTATTTTATATGAGAAGACAAGGATCGAGGTTGGGGCCAGCCCGCCCCTTTTGATTCAGGGGGCTGTCCAGTAACACTTCTCTGGTGTCTGTGAGAGGTGCATGTCACATTTTCGTCACAGTTACACCATTCTAAGATAATACATCACCTTTTTCTTATGGGTATTATCCCAATGGCAGGTTGATCAAATCAGTTTTGTTTAATTGCTTTGATATTTGCAATGGCATATAGACTGAGTTACCTGACTTTCATGTCTTCTCCCACTTAGATTTGGTTTAAAAACCAGAGAGCAAAACAGAGATCTGAATGGTCCTTAGAAAGAGACCAAACCCAGGAACCACACCAGCATCAGCCTTGGGCTCAAGGTAAGAACCCACAGATCTACATGCATTTCTTCAGTGGGTCCCATAAAGAGTAAAAATGGTTCTGCAGGCTGTGTCCAAATTCTCCACAAAACAGTCCTTATCTTAGAACCGAGTTACAACTTGTCCTAGGCACCCTAGTGTCAGAAATATAAGCATGGTCCTCCAGCTGGCTGGGACAGGCAGGTTCTTCTCTAGCACGTCTCTGGGCCTTTTGACCCTGCTGCTGTAAGCCTGGTGTCACCTTGGGGGGATTCAGAGACAGTAAGTATGGTCAGCATTTCCTTCTCAAGTTTGAGTTTCCAGTTCAAATGTGAAAACTGCCCTAGTAGCTGTCTTTTGTTCCCATGTTATGCTTTAGAATACTTACCAAATGAAGCCAGGCAAGACCAGACATCCATCACAAGTTCTCAATCAAACATCCCAGTTCAACCCTTTGACGGGGACCATTTCCCTGATACTGCAACCAGGAAAATATTGGCTAAACAAACAGGCATTCAGGAATCAAGAATTCAAGTAAGTTCTATGTCTGTGGCACCAAATACAGTCGGCCCTTGCCACTTCGCACTTCGACTTTCGCGGCTGCACTCTATTGTGGTTTTTTCAAATATATTCATTAAAAAGTTGATCAAGACAGAGAAAATGATACAGCGCATGCTTGGTTGTCTGAGTCAATTACACACCCCTGTATTACAATTAAAATTAAAATTACTGCCCGGCTGGTGTGGCTCAGTTGTTGAGGATCGACCCATGCACCAAGAGGTCGCCAGTTCGATTCCCAGTCAGGGCACATGCCCAGGTTGTAGGCCTGATCCCCAGTGGGGGGTATGCAGGAGGCGGCCAGTCGATGTTCTCTCATTGATGTTTCTATCTCTCTCTCTCTCTCTCTCTCTCTCTCCCTCTCCCTTCCTCTCTCTCTAAAATCAATAAAAAAAAATTTATTTTTAAAAAATTAAAATTACTGTACGTATGGACTGTAGGCCTATGTATTCGAGCACCCCAGGAATCCTTCAATGCCAGGTGCAACCACTAGAGTCTGGAACAGATTAACTGCGATAAATGAGGGATGACTGTGTCTCCGATGATACTGCCTCCTCAAAGGCTGCTAGAAAAGGATTAACCTATCTCGAATTATCAGTCATCATGGGGCAAAGGCATGGGATGATAAAGACCTGGTATCGTAAGTCAGATTCTTGCAAAAGGAAGAATTTTCACATTTGTCAGTGGTGTGTCAATTTAAAAATCACCAGCAGCAAAAATGTGGGAAAATGTGAAAGTTAATACCTATTTTGAGAACACTGTCAGGTTTTCTACACCTTGACACTTGTCATGTCAGGTCAGAGAATTATTTCTCTTTTTTTAGAGGCAGTGAGGATCAAGTGAACAGAAAGAGAAAGAGGAGGAAGAGGACAAAAGGGAGGAAAAAGAGGAGGAGGAGAAAGAGGTGGTGGGAGAGGAGGAGGAGAAGGAGGAGGATGAAGAGGAGGTGAGGGAGGATGAAGAGGAGGAGAAGGAGGAAGAGTGAGAATTATTTCTTGTAATGGGTTGTCTTGTGCCTGGTAGAATATTTTTCAGCATTTCTGGCCTCTACCAACTAGATACCCTGCCTACTTCCTTCCCACTGTTTGTGATACCCTTGAAAAAATCTATAGAAATAGTCAAATATTTTCCAGTTGGGGAACAAAATCGCCCCCATTGAGTTCCTTTTACCTAAGTTATGGGGATAGTGGTTTAGTGTATGTTAAATGCTCATACTAGGAAGCACATTCATAGGTTTATCAGCATAGAAATCCTCAAAAACTTACTAACCTTTGTTCACATTTACACAGGTATATATAAGATGCATATTTTTAAATTATTTATTTATTTTAGAGAGGGAGGAAGGGAGAGGGGGAGAGAGAAAAAAACATCGATGAGAGAGAACATCAGTTGGCCACCTCCAGCATGCCCCATACTGGGGATTGGGCCCACAACCTGGCATGTGCCCTGACTGGGAATTAAACCAGCAACCTCTTGGTGCATGGGTCGATGCTCAACCACTGAGCCACACCAGCAGGGCAAGATACATACTCTTATGTACACATTGGCAAAGAGGAAAAAAATGTCAACCTGGTCAAAAGAACTTGTTTGCTAATCCTTTGTTGTAATTCAAGAAAAGATTCTAGCCCTGGTCGGTTTGGCTCAGCAGTTGGAGCATTGGCCTGCGGACCAGAGTCCCAGGTTTGGCTCCCGCTAGGGGCACATACCAAAAAAGAAAAAAGAAAAAAGAAAAGATTCTAGAAAATGCCTTTTCAGCCAGTTTCAATTCATCTATCATTGAGTGCGTTGTGACCTCAATTTATGTGTTTGTATGTTTGTGTATATACATATACATATGCATACACACACATATACAAACACATACATACTGGACATATATTTTGTGTGTGTGTGTGTGTGTGTGTGAATATATAAAACCATCCTGATATTAGGGCCTATGTTAATACTCCCTTTGCTTTACACAGTATGAGAAACAATGCTAGAATTGCTTATGTCTTATGATGTTCGTGTCTCCCCTTCTCCTCGCATACGTTTGGTTTCAGAACCGAAGCTCTCCATACCCAGGGCAGAGCAGAAGTAAGCTTGTGAATTCCATGGTAAACAACCCACATGGGACACCAGATCTGACAGTTCAGCAGCACCAAATCAGCCTGTCTACTCTCCCAGATGGGTCTCATCTTCCTTCCTCCAATTTTTTCAACAAGAACCAAACATCTCTACCTGCTCCATTCCCATCCCATGTGTCCTTTGTCCCTTGTGTGAGCCAAGGGCCAAGTGTCCTGATGGTGCAGCCCATACAGGCTGTGCAAGAAGGAGAGAACTCTCTCTCTACTCAGACACTTACAAACTACCTGCCAGTACTGCTGACTCCAGGAGGGGACCGCCCCAATACTCACACTCCTTTCTGGCCCCAAAACCAAGAAAAATGCCAGAATCACGAAGAACAGACTGCCACAGGAGTACTACAGTTGAAGGACTATAATCAGCCTCATACTGAGCACGAAAAACACCAATCACAGAATCTGGATCAGACGGACCTACCTCACATTATGCAACGCTGGGATGAGTGTTGCCAGGCTCTGATTGCAGAATGGGACCCTCAAAAAGGGACACACTGAGCCACACAACGCACAGGTCAGCTGGAGAACCACAATCATCTCATTCCTTCGACCAATTGCACCAACAATATATAGAAACCTCAAGCCTTTAGGTCAACTCCTGCAATCCCCAAATTTCAGAAAAAGGTACACATTTTTCTGAGTCTTCATACACAAGAAAGGATGCTCCAGGATCGCAGTTGTGCCTCACTGAAGATTTTCAGGCTCCACTCCACGCGACGCAAAGCTTACTTTCCGGAGGAGGAAGACGTCACTCCCATGGAAACTGATCCAGGCCTCCTTTCTTCGGAGGCGGGATAAGTGCAATTTAAAGGACAATAAACAGTCAGCCGGTGTGGCTCAGTGGTTGAGTGTTGACCCACCAAGGGGTCACCGGTTTGATTCCCTGTCAGGACACATGCCCAGATTGTGGGCCCAATCCCCAGTGGGGGCATTCAGGGGGTGGCCAATTGATTTTTCTCTCATCAATATTTCAATCTCTCTCTCCCTCTCCCTTATCTCTTTTTAAAAAACAATAAAGAAATATTTTTAAATAATAATTTTTAAAATAAACATTAATTTATCATACCATCCAGCAATTCCACTCTTAGGTATTAACCAAGGGAAACTAAAACATATGTCCACACGAATGTTCTTAGCAGCATTATTCATAATAGCCAAAAAGTGGAAATGATCCAAATGTCTATCAACTAGTGAACAGATAGACAAAATGTTGCATATTCATGTAAGAGAACATTATTTAGCAATAAAAAAAATAAACTACTGATATATACTTCCTTCACTGATGAACCTCAAAAACATTATATACTAAGTAAAGGAAGGCAGACATTAAGAGATTATATTAAAGACATTAAAAGTATGAGTATATTTATATGAAATTTCCAGAAAAGGCAAACCTACAGCGAGAGAAAGCAGAACCGTTTGCCTGGGGCTGAAGGAGGGAACAGGAATTGTCTGCAAATGGGCAGAAGGAAACTTTGGGTGAGGAAATGATTTAAAACTTAATCATTTCCCAACAGGTGCGGCCCAGCCGTTGAGCATCGACCCACATTCCAAGGGGTCACCGGTTCGATTCCCAGTCAGGGCACATGCCCACGTTGTGGGCCAAATCCCCAGTGGGGGGCATGCAGGAGGTGTCCAGTTGATATTCTCTCTCATCAATGTTTCCCTCTCCCTTCCTCTCTCTCTAAAAATCAATAAAGAAAATAAATAAAGAAAGAACAATAAACAATGAAGTCATCCTGTTCAGGACAAGACTAATGCAGTGGGGAGGAGAAACCACTTGGAAGCCCAAGGAAAGGTTTTACGGTGTTGTGGGCAGTGGGTGTCTTCTGTACTCACTTCACTGAGTGAAGGATTGTTTCCATGCTGCCTCTGCAAGCACCGTGGGCACCAGGCAGTGGACACATCTGCTGAATCCTGAACAGCATCTTACTGACAAATGACCTCTTCCCTGTAATCAACACATCCTCTAGCATCTGGAAAATCTACAAACTGTAACCAAACCCAGGCGAGAACAGGTCTACAAAGGACACATCGGCACTTTCCCTTAGGGCAAGATGGGAAGGCAAACTGATTTGAGTTTGTCATGTAAAAAATGAAGCGATGGCCCTGGTCAGTTTGGGTCAGTGGTTAGAGTATCGGCCCACAGACAAATGAGTCGCAGGTTGGATTTCAGTCAAGGGCACGTACCTCAGTTGGGGTTCATCCCCAGCCCTGGTCGGGTGGTACAGATGGCAACCAGTTGATGTGTCTCTCTCATATCACTGTTTGTCTCTCTCTCTCACCCTCCCTCCCTCTTCCTCATGCCCACTCTATCTGATGATAAACAGAAAAATATCCTCAGGTGAGGATTAAAAATAAAAAATGAAGGGATGGCATGGCCAGCATGGCTCAGTGGATTGAGCGTCCTCCCATGGGCCGAGAGGTCCTAGTTCAATTCCCAGTCAGGGCACATGCCTGCGTTGCAGGCTCAATCCCCAGTAAGGGGCGTGCAGGAAGCAGCCAATTGATGTTTCTCTCTCACATCGATGTTTCTCTCTCTCTCTCCTTTCTTTTCTAAAAAAATCAATAAAAACATATTGAGAAGAAAAAAATGAAGGGATGCTGTTTTTTCTAATGATGTGAGTTCATAAAAGTGAGCTTTTCCCTGAAACTCTGAGGGTTTGAATTGGGAACTAGAAACTTCCTCAGTATTTCTCAATAAAGGAATGATTAACATGAAGTAAGATAGATCCATAATACTATGTGGTGTGTTTTTTTTAATCGTCACCCGAGGACATTTTTTTCATATTTTGTTCAGATAAAGCAGGAGAGAGAGAGAAACATCAATGTGAAAGGGACACATCGAGTGGCTGCCACCCGCATGACCCAACCAGGGCTGGGAACAAACTGCAACTGAGGTACATGCCCTTAGTGGGAACCGAACCCGGGTCTCTCTGGACCGCAGGCCGATACTCTAACCACTGAGCCAAACTGGCCAGGGCCATAATACTATGTTTTACATATATTTATTCCTTTGACTAATTAAACATATCAAAAATTACAAGGAAAATATAATAGCAGCACCATATTTTGACTATACTCTAATGTTACTATTTCCACAATTTTAGAAAAAAATATTATATATGTATATATATTTCACTTTTTTATGAATAATGTTAATCTATTTTTTTTTTTTTATCCTCACCCGAGGACACTCTTCCACTTTTTGTTCAGATAGAGCAGGAGGGAGAGAGAGGAGGAGAGAGAGAGAAACACCGATGCGAAGGGACACATCGAGTGGCCGCCACCCGCACGACCAACCAGGGCCAGGGACAAACTGCAACCAAGGCACGTGCCCTCAGCGGGAACCGAACCCGGGTCTCTCTGTACTGCAGGCCGACGCTCCAACCGCTGAGCCAAACCGGCCAGGGCTGAATAATGTTAATCTAAAACCTGGGAAACCATTCTCACTTTTTCCCTTCTTTTGAAATAGTAACTTATAAAAATAAATTTTTGTGTATGAAGGTGTATGTGGGTTTACCTTGGTACAATAAAAGTATCTCTGAAAAATATTACTTTTTATACTTCCTTCAGCTGCATACATGTTAAAATTGGGACAATACAGAAATTAGCATGGTCCCTGAGCAAGGATAACATGCAAATTTGTGAAGCGGTCCAAAAATTTTACTCGTTAACTTCAGCTAATGAAGATAAAGAAAATTGGTATAGAAATTATTTTACAAAGGAGTCAAAATTCCTGCAATAACCATTGCTAGAATGCAGGTCTTGAGAGATCACTGATAGTTGAAAAAATTATGCAAAGTTCTTCAGAAGTTGGTTAAGACGCTATGCCTAGAGATTTTGTGAATATGGTGGAAAAAGAAATCATTGATCCAACTAAGGTTGTAAGAGCTGCTTTATTGGATGCTGCTGGAGTGACAGAAATTCTTAAAGAGAAAGACCCTGGAAGAGGTGGGATGAGTGGAACGGGAGGTGGTATGGGAGGTGGCATGTCCTAATCCTAGAATAGTGCTTTGCCGTTATTGAGAACAGTGAGGCTCAAGGTCGTGCTCCTCACCTATAACTTCAGAGAAGTCAGTTTAAGGAAATGCTGAAGATAAAGGCTGGCTGATGTGTAAGAAAATCACTATAACCATGAGTACTGTTTTCAGCTGACAACATACAATGGTTTACTGCCGCCATTGTCCGTGCCTACAGATAATTTATTTTCTATTTTTGAATAAAAATACATTTGTACATTCCTGATAACTAAGTGCTAGAGCCATATACCAATGTACTGCTTTCAACTGAAATCATTGGGGCATTTTTACTACTATTCTGTTAAAATCAGGATTTTGGTGCTTGCCATCCGCCAATGAGAAGCAGCCTTTTTGTAGAGAATAAGAGTAATTATGTACAAAGTAGAGAAATATCGCCCTGGCTAGTTTGGCTCAGCGGTTAGAGCGTTGGCCTGTGGTCCAGAGAGACCAGGGTTCGGTTCCTGCTAAGGGCATGTACCTCGGTTGCAGTTTGTCCCCGGGTGGCAACCACTCGATGTGTCCCTTTCACGTTGATGTTTCTCTCTCTCTTCTCTCTCTCTCTCTCTCTCTCCCTCTCTCTCCTTCTCTCTCCCTCCCACTCTATCTGAACAAAAAAAACTAAAAAATGTCCTCGGGTGAGGATTAAAAAAAAAAAGTAGAGAAATATCTAATTATGTGGCCTCTGTGTAATAAGAATTTGTTTAAAAAGAAAAATATTACTTCTTTGTTCATTTTATCAATTTGCATTGTTTTGTCTTATTGCTTTGTTTACTTTCCATGTGAAGGTATCAGAACGAGTTCAGTACACATAGTTCTACATGCACTAATACAAACAGTTGTGAGGTAGACATCCTTACTGGTGCATTATGTGCAAGAGTTTTTCTGGGTGTTTATACACTAACGCACAAGTGCCAGACTATTCCAACATTAATATTTATCGTCAAATTACACTCAGCAGAAATTATTTTTCCTAATGTTAGTTGTACTTTCATTATCACCTAGGGAATTTAAACTCACAAGCATCTGCACACACACAAAGACATATATTACTGTCAGAAATCTACCAAAACAAAGAATCTAATTATTTGATAGTGCTGATTTGATACCACCATGCACAGACTGAGCAGCTTAAATAACAGAAATTTATTTTTCACAGTTCTTGAGAATGGAATTCCAAGCTCAAAGTGTCTACAGGTTTGATTTCTTCTGAGGCTTCTCTCTTTGCTATGCTGATGGCCGTCTTCTCCTTTGTGTCCTGAAGGTCTTTCCTCTATGTGCACATCCTTGGTGTACCTGTTGGTGTATGCAAATTTCCTCTTCTTGAATTTCATTTTCTTACATTCAAGTGCATTGGCTCTGGCTTAAGTTTTGGTTTAAGAGGGTACTAAACTCACCCCAGTCTAATAGCCTCCTTGTTTAACTACTTAAACACCTGTAAGAAACTTTTTTTTTAATAGACAGTAACATCGATTTTTGTTGTTCCACTTATTTATGCATTCATTGGTTGATCTTGTATGTCCCCTGATCAGTGATCGAACCCACAACCTCGGTGTATGGGGACAACACTCTAACCAACTGAGCTACCCATCTAGGGCCAAGAAACGATTTTCAAGAAGTTTCCATTGTCCACTTTATAAATGTTAGAAAATAGTCCTGGCCAGTTTGGCTCAGCGGTTAGAGTGTGGGCCCGCGGACCAGAGAGACCCGGGTTCAGTTTCCACTAGGGGCGTGTACCTCAGTTGCAGTTTGTACCCGGCCCTATGGGGTTGTGTGGGTGGCAACTAATTGATGTGTCTATCTCACACCAATGTTTCTCTCTCTTCTTCCCTCTCTCCTTCCTGCTCTATCTGAAGATAATGCAAAAATGTCCTCAGGTGAGGATAAAAAAATAAATAAATACATAAATACGTAAATAAATAAATATGTTAGAAAATAATTTGATTACTTAATTCTGCATTGTGGACAATAGCTATTAATTAAATACATAAACCATTAGACAGAACAATCATCAGCAAGCTTCTCTGCAGAGCCCAGATGAGCTCTTCAAATCTTTGTACACAAATGTATAACCTACCTCATGTCTGAGGCAGTCCCAGGTGATGGACTCAGAAAACAACCCGATATATTCCCCAGAAGGATCCCACTGCCAGTAAATTATCGAAACTGAAAGCTGCAGGTAGAAAGAAAGAACTGGGGGAAGCCCTCTTGTTGACAGACACAACTATACTGGAATCTGCAGAAACTAAGAGGAAAAGACCAGAAAGATATGCAGAGTGAGTTTCAAGGTGATGGTCATTATTGATAGAGAAGCATAAATAACATTTGCTATAAGACGATATGCTCAGGAAGCAAATTAAAAACCCTAATTCCCTGACTTTTGTTTGGGTATTCACCTTCCCCTCTCAGGCCATATCCCCAAGCAAGGTTACACAATCTGCAACCCAAGGAGGGTAGACATTGATTAATCTACATTCATCAAGTCAACTTCATTTAGGAAGAGTTAGGAAGGCGCATGTGCCATAATTCTAGCCAATGAGAAGTCTAGGAGGGGCTTCTAGGAAAGGTTGCCCACCAATACAGGAAAACACCTGGAGGAAATCCTCTGCTGTTGGAACTATAGCAGCCACCTTTCAACCACAAGGGGAGAAGCCAATGCGACAAGCTTAAGGATGGCCAAGTAGCAAAATAGAACCACAAGCCACTCTACCTCAGGACTTGTTATATACACCAGATATAAATCCCCTTTTCTTCTTTATTGATTTTAGAGAGAGAGGAAGGGAGAGGGAAAGATAGAAACATCAATGCAGAGAGAACATCGATTGGCCACCTCCTGCATGCCCCCACTGGGGATTTGGCCCACAACCTGAGCATGTGCCCTGACTAGGTATGGAACCAGTGACTTCTTGGTGAATAGGCCGACACTCAACCACTGAGCCACACTGGCTGGGTGATCCCCTTGTTTTTTAAAGTCTTTTGTGTTGTTTTCTGTTACATGCAACTAAATATACCTTACTATACATAGGCAGGTGGGCATATGATCCGGCAAATAGCACTAGACCAAAAACAAGAGAGAATCAGAACAGTTCAAGCAGCAGCTTAAAGTTTTAAAACTCAACTGCCTCTGTTTAAAAGGAATGGAAAACAATACCAGGACCAAAACCCACTACTGTAGGAAGGAAAAATAGACAAAAAAGGAAATGCTTCTGCCACTAATAAAGTTGTAACAGTTACTTAAGGCCTAGAAATGTTCAGAAGCTGAAATATGGGGTCAAGTGGTACGCTGGTGGAGGAGGAACGGTGAGGAAGGCCCAGAATTCAAGAGATACAATGAGGAGGAAATGGTGTGTCCCAGAGCACAAGCAGAAAAGCAGAGCCAAATTCATGAAGCAAAGAAAGAAAACCCCAAGAACAAGAATCTGGCAGCTTGAGGGAGAGGTATCCCAATTTCAGGACTTGAACAGCTGATCTCTGGAGTCAATGCAGCCATAGCTCAATGCCATTAAACATTAAGATCCAACTCAGTTTCCTTACTTAAATCTATGTTCCCAAAAGTACTTCTCATGTTTTGTTTCCCTTCATATATCTCCTGGCCCAAGAGATGAAATGACCACAGAACTTATAAAATCAGATATTTTGAAAGTTAGTGGCTTATTAGGAGCACTATAAGTTGGTGTGTATTTGACTTAAACATGTCTTCTGGGCCCTGGCCAGTTTTGCTCAGCGGTTAGAGCATTGGACAGTGGAACGATAAGTCTTGGGTCCAATTCTGGTCAAGGGCAAGTACCTCAGTTGCAGTTCGTCCCCGGCCCTGGTGGGGTTATGTGGGAGGCAACCAGTCAATGTGTCTTTCACATCAATGTTTCTCTCTCCCTCTCCCTCTCCCTCTCTCTCTTACCCTTCTCTACCTCTCTCCCTCCCTTTCCTCCCTCTATCTGAAGATAAATGGGAAAATATACTTGGGTGAGGATTAAAAATAATAATAATAAATAAATAAATAGCCCTGGTCGGTTTGGCTCAGCAGTTAGAGCGTTGGCCTGCGGTCCAGAGAGACCGGGTTCGGTTCCCACTAAGGGCATGTACCTCAGTTGCAGTTTGTCCCAGGCCCTGGTTGGGTCGTGTGGGTGGCAACCACTCGATGTGCCCCTTTCACATTGATGTTTCTCTCTCTCTCCCTCCCTCCCACTCTATCTGAACAAAAAATGTCCTCAGGTGAGGATAAAAAAATAAATAAAAAATAAACATGTCTTTTGGGAGTCTGGGTATAATAAACCAGAACCTTTTGCACTTGCTTTGACAAAACTGGAATTTAGCCCTGGCCAGTTTGGTTCAGCGGTTAGGGCGTCGGCCTGCGGTCCTGGGAGACCCGGGTTCGGTTCCCGCTAAGGGCGCGTACCTCGGTTGCAGTTTGTCCCCGGCCTTGGCCGGTTGTGCGGGTGGCAGCCACTCGATGTGTTCCTTTCACATCGATGTTTCTCTCTCTCTCTCTCTGTTCCTCTCTCTCCCTCCCACTCTACCTGAACAAAAAATGGAAAAATGTCCTCGGGTGAGGATAAAAACAAAACAAAACAAAAAACTGGAATTTCTAGTCCTGTAAAGCTAATAGGCTGTGGTAGCTTTACTAAAGTATAGACATCCTAGATAACAACAAATGCCTACCACCGTACCCTTCCCAGTCACCATTTCATTACCACTGTTGCCTGGCCCATCTGGCTCTGTGGATTGAGTGTCATCCCATGGACTGAGCGGTCCCAGTTCAATTCCCAGTCAGGACACATGCCCAGGTTGTGGGTTTGATTCCCAGTAGGGCAAGTGTAGTAGGTGGCTGATCAATGTTTCTCTCACATCGATGTTTCTCTCTCCCTTCCTCTCTCTCTAAAAAAATCAATAAAAACATTTAAATAAATAAATAATTACCACTGTTGCTCTGGCCGGTTTGCATCAACCCAAAGACCAAAGGGTCGTGGGTTCAATTCTGGTCAAGGGCACACACTTGGGTTGCAGGTTTGATCCCCAGCCCCCGTCTCAGTCATGCGGGAGGCAACCAATCAATGTCTCTCTCTCACATTGACACCTCTCTCTCTCTCCTTCCCTCCCTCTATTCCACTATTGTCTAAAAAGTTAATGGAAAAGTACCCTGGGGTGAGGATTAACAACAACAAAATTACCACTGTTGTGAGTTAGTTACTACTGAGAGTGGTTTATCTTCCAACATAGTAAGAAACAGGGAAAGGTTAAACACTTTGATTTAGGCTTGGTTCCCCCAGAAGCAGATTCTCAAGACAGAATTTGTGTGCTTCGAGGATGGGGATGTGAGACATGAGAAAGAAGCCTATGCAGTATATATTCATAAACCAAATACCAATGTGGGAAACTATGTTTATTTCTACTGGGGACCTCTGAAAGATGGCATGAAAACCATTATCCCATTCACAAGGTAATTCTCAAATATGTATTCAAGTGTGTCATTTCTCTGGTCAGCAAGCAAGTTGGGTATACATCCTCCAATTCCCACACACCACTAGCTGAAAGCCACTCCATAGCATTTCAAGCGGACAGAACGCCTGGAGCAGGTGCTTGCAGGACTCCTGTTGCTGGCTTGTGCTGGAATGGTGACTGCCTAGGGGATATGTGTGGGACATCCACACCTCCAGTTACACACCTGATGGTTCTCAATTGTTCCAGATTGGCTTCCCCCAATTTTGGCTCTCAGCAGTTTACCTTATTTTGCCATTTTTCACAGTCCTTGGTATAAATCTTCTCTTTGCTCTATCCAGAAGAACTAGCATCTTTCTAATGGCCTATTAGTTCTAAAATGGAAGCGCTTTATTGATTATTTATCTAATTAATAATAAGCAAAACTGTCAGTTTTTATACCTAAAAGTTTTTGTGAATATAATCAAACACTTGGAGACTCATATAAAAAGTTCCATTTATTTTCAATGACAAAAGTAACACAACAAAGAAGAATTAATCCACTAAGTTTTAAATCGAATATAGCCTCAACATAAAACTATCCTCAATAAATAAAAACACACTATTACTACTAAACAAGTAAGACTATTCTTGAGACTCTCAAAGGTTTTGTATTTTAAACAAAATTGGGTGGTAGGTAAAGAAACACATGCTAGATAGTTGACTGACAAGGACTCAAAAAAAGAACAGCCAAGAAGCAGGGTCCCCAAGTATTAAGTTAACATAGGAAATATGGGGTTTTCAAAGCAGTTTAGAAATCAGAGCTCACTGGGGGATGCAAGGGTTTGGGATAGTCCATGTTCAGGGCCTTGTAATGAAATCTTTCTGTATTTCTAGATTCCTGAATTAGAGTCTATCACAATCTAGAGGAGCTTCTGCCAAAGGATAGGAGGCTCTTTATTTACACTGCCTGAAAAGACCTGTCTCCTAATTTTCCTCCTTGACTTGATCACTAGCTGTCACTAATATAATAGAGGTTCCATTCCAAAAAAAAATTACTACATAGATCAAACTATCTCTGGTTTATATTTTCCTTTAAGAAACACACTGATACCGCCAGGGACAGCTCTAAATATCTTTTCTGTTTATCCTCCTACACAACTCTGTGTGGCTACAAAATCTAGGACAAAGACAGCATTGGTCAGAAGACAAGTGTCAGCCCTGGCCGGTTTGGTTCAGTAGTTAGAGCATCGGCCTGCAATCCAGAGAGACCTGGGTTCAGTTCCTGCTAAGGGCATGTACCTTGGTTGCAGTTTGTCCCCGGCCCTGGTTGGTCTTGCGGGTGGCAGCCACTTGATGTATCCCTTTCACATTGATGTTTTTCTCACTCTCCCTCCCACTCTACTTGAACAAAAAAATGGAAAAATGTCCTCGGGTGAGGATAAAAAAAAAAAAAAAAAAAAAAAAGACAAGTGTCAGTTCCAATATAAGAATCTCTAAAGTTCAACGGTCACAAAAAAATTTTTTACCACCTCATCTGCCACACCTTTTCTCTTTTCTCATTATCCTGTCAATTATTTCTTTCGGAATTCAATTCTCCGAGCTACATTCTGAGCACCAAATTTTTTGACCAATGTATCTCGGGCATCCTCATCATCTTTTTGCAAATCTAAGTCATCCTGTCTGGACCAAATGGGATACCCATCAGCCCTCTGACCAGACTCTAAAAAGGAAGTAGTGGCCTCCAGCTCACCACTATTTTTAAGGAAGGCCTGTGTAACTGTTGACAGATCCAAGTTAAACTTTTCCATTAACTGCCGGATGATCTTAATGGCAGCTCCCACCTCTGGTGGAGAAACTTTTTCTTCTTCTTCTTCTTCTTCATCCTCATCAGGCTGTGTTTCCGAGTCTTCCTCAGGTGTGGGTGGGTCATCATCACACATTGTTATATGTATTTCAAAATCAGGGCTTTCCTCCACCTAGTGAAGTAATGAATAAAACCAGTCTAATTATCCAGTTACAAACACTTAACTCTTGCAATATCTGGTCTCTCCCAACTACCACCTCCTTGTCCATGTCACCCCAATCACAATGGACTCCCTTCAGTTCCTCTAATATGCCATGTTCCTTCTTACATTTATTCATCTTGGGCATATGTGTATATATGTGTATAAGTATGTATGTATGTATTTTTGTGACAGGTGAGGAAGGGTGTGTGCAGGTGGGGTGGTGTGTGTGTGTGTGTGTGCACATGCTCACATGTGTATATGTGTGTATATATGTATAACTATGGTATCCCAATAGAACATTAGAAGCTACAATGAATATAAAAAAGATATATGTATATACATACACTTATATGTATACAAGTCTACATTAGATTATTTCTTAAAAGCATGGCTTCATTCCCAAATTGTAAGCTCCATAAGGACAGAAAATGTATCTGTTCTGTTCATCATTACATCCCCAGTGCCTACCAATGGCTACACATAATAAGTACTCAAAAAATATTGCTATATTAGGGCCTCCAAGCTATACTACATTTACGTACATTACAAAGTATGTTCTGTGAGAAGAGACTTATATAGGCCATGTTTGGGAGTTGTTGAGCATTGAAAAGTTTATGAAAAATGAACATAATAATAAAACAAAACTCAGATTACAAAAGGCAACAGTCCCTAAATTCTGCCTATTCTTGTGCATTCCTTCATCAATTACAGAAACTTTAAATTATTTCCTGATTTAATCAAAGGCCTAACCTTTACTTTGTGTTAATAAGAGAAGTTAATTTAGCCCTGGCCGGTGTGGCTCAAATGGTGGAACGTCATTCCATGAACCAAAAGGTTGCTGGTTCAATTCCTGGTCAGGGCAAATACCTGGGTTGTGGGTTTGAGCCATGGTCTGCCACATGCATGAGGCAACCGACTAATGTTTCTCTCCCCCCATCAAATCAATGAAAATCTATTTTTTTTAAACTTAATTTAAAAATTAACTTTTACTTGGAGAAAATATGCACATATTTGTCTTTTTTTTTTCTTTTTTTAAACTATGTTTTTATTGATTTTTTTTAGAGAGAGAGGAAGGGATAGAAACATCAATGTGAGAGAAAAACATCTATCAGCTGCCTCCTGCACGCCCCCTACTGGAGATTGAGCCCACAACCAAGGCATGTGCCCTGACCAGGAATTGAACCAGGACCTCTCAGTCCATGGGATGACACTCAATCCACTGAGCCACACTGGCTGGGCTAATGTTTTTTCCTTCAATTACTCCTTGTTATTTTACAGCTCCTGCCTTTCTCTATAATGATGATTGATGATTAAATATGGGACTCCAACAGAGTATTAGAAGCTAGACTGAATATGAAAGGGCTAAAATTTCCCATAAAGCTCTAAATACACAAAAAGCTAAACCTGCTTGGTTAAAAAGTTAAACTCTTTTAAAACTTACATTTATGTTTCTAAGAAGCATAAAAACATTTTTAAAAGATAAATCCATTCTTAACTTTGAAAAGCTTATACTGAGATCAAAGTACTAAAAACGGGATGCTTTGTACTGTTTAAAAGTAATTCTCCCTAACTTTTCTACCTCTTAACCTCAAGCTTTCCTGACAAAAAAGTAAAAGCTACATGCCTAGAACCTAAATGAGTATCACTTTCCATTTTCTTCTTCCATCTTAAACTTCTCTATCTTTCTGGGCTTTGGGTGTATAAAAGGGGTAGATGGGATGACCAATTTCAAAGGAGGAGAATGGAGGTACAGAACAAATGAGTTAAATCTGGTTAACATACCACAACTTCCTCAAACTCCCGGGTAGCTTCTACAAGCATCTTTTTGACTGCTTCTTCATTCTCCTTCTTCACCTCTTCCCTTACAAATTCTTCTTCAGGCAAGTCTGGAGTTCTCTTATTCTGTGGTTCTATTACAGAGAAGAACAGCACTAGATTAGAACAAGCCTCTTTTACAGAAAACAAAAATACAGTACATACTTGGTGGACCCTAAAAGTGAGCCTGCACTTTTTTACCACTAGAAGACACCTGTTTTTTATCAGAAGGATAAGAAAAACATAAGACATGCATGTTTAATAATTCCTACTCTTGCTTCTGAAAAGTTGTACTATCCAAATGATGATAATTTTCCTAGTTCTGATATATAAAATAAAAATTCTCTTCAAGCTTAATTCTTGTTGTGCCTTGTATTTATGGATTTTACAAATTAACACAACTGTGGGATAAATTGGGTTTTCTGGGAAGCAGATTCTGAGAAACAGGTTATTGCGTAAGGTGTTTATTAGAGAGTATGCATGGGAAAATCCCCATTGAAAAGAAAGCAGATGGGCAGAGAAAAGCTGACCTGTGAAAGAGTACCAACAAGGCCTCGACTGAAGCTAGAAAGGTCCTTCAGAGTTGACCCAGTTGGGGTAAGGGAGCCTAGACTTTATGACTTTATATAAATCAGTTACTGGATACCAGTCACCCTAAGGTGACAGACTGGGCAAGGCAGCACTCCTAGCCACTGAACGCAGATCTGGGGGATACACCACAATCTACCACATACCATCTATACAAAAGAGGGCCCCCTAAAGCCAAACATCCTCTTGGTTCCCTCCCTTTACTCTTTGTTCTCCAAGGATTTTACTTTGTTATCTTTTTCACTTAACAAAAACTAACTACTGCCTTGGCCTTTATAGCTCAACAGTGAGAGTGTCAGCCCAGAAGCAAAGAATCCCAGGTTTGAGTCCAGCCAAGGGCACATACCTCGGTTATGGTTTGTCCCTGGCCCTGGTTGGGGTTTTGCAGGTGGCAACCAGTGAATGTGTGTGTCTCTCTCTTTTTCTCTCTCTCTGAAGATAAATGTAAAAATATCCTCAGATTTTAAAAAAACAAAAAAACTTTCACTATCTATAGCTCAACGGTGAGAGCATTGGCCCGCGAAGCAAAAACAGACTACTAAGGGGCAGAATGAGGAAGTTTTTGTAATGGAAATGTTCTGTATCCTGATTTTTGGTGAGGGTTACACAAATCTTCACATATGTTAAAACACATAATTGGGGCCCTGGTCAGTTTGGCTCAGTGGTTGGAGCCTCAGCCTGCTGTCCAGAGAGACCCAGGTTCAGTTCCCATTAAGGGCACGTATCTTGGTTGGATTTGTCCCCGGTCCTGGTTGGGTCGTGTGGGTGGCAGCCACTCGATGTGTCCCTTTCACATCGATGTTTCTCTCTCTCTGTCTCCTCCTCTCTCTCCCTCCCACTCTATCTGAACAAAAAAAAAAAAGGAAAAATGTCCTCAAGTGAGGATAAAAAAAAAAACATAACTGGGAAATGGTATGACAGTTCTCCAAAATATTAAACATAAAATTGCCATATGAATCGCCAATTCCACTTCTGGGTTTTTACTCCCCCAAAATGAAAGCAAGGTCTCAATCAGGTATTACAATACCCATATTCAGAGCAGCATTATTCACAATAACTAAGAGACAGAAACAACCCAAATGTCCATCAATGGATGAACAGATAAACAAAAAGTGGTCTAGACATACAGTAGAATATTATTTAGCCTTAAAAAGGAATGAAATTCTGACACATGAGACATTATGGTAAGTGAAATAAGCCAGATACAAAAGGACAAATATTGTATGACTCCACTTATATAAGATACCTAGAGAGATCAAATTCACAGACAAAAAGCATAATGGTGCTTGTCAGGGGATAGAGGAAGGGAGGAATAGGGAGTTAATGTTTAATGGATATAGAGTTTCAGTTTTGGAAGATCAAAAAGTTCTGGAAATGGATAGTCACAGCCGCCTGCCAATATGAATGTACTTAATGCCACTGAATACTTAAAATGCTAATTGTAAATTTTATGTAATATATATTTTACCACAATTAAAAATAAAATAAATTTTCCCTGGCTGGTTTGGCTCAGCGGTTGGAGCATTGGCCCATGGACCAGAGAGGCCAGGTTTGGTTCCCACTAAGGGCACGTACCTCAGTTGCAGTTCATCCCAGCCCCGGTTGGGGTTGTGTAGGTGGCAGCCACTCAATGTGTCTCTCTCACATGGATGTTTCTCTCTCTTCCTCCCTTTCTCCCTCCCGCTCTATCTCAAGATAAATGCAAAAATGTCCTCTAGTGAGGATAAAAAATAAATAAAATAAAATTTTAAAATGCATAAACTGTACACAAACATAAGTCAATTTTCTTTCATATAAATTTTTAAAATAGTAATTATAAAAAGAAGCCTTATCTTTTAGAGATATGTGCTCAAATAAATAAAATGGATGATGCCTGGTATCTACTTTAAAACCACCCCAAAAGTCTGTCTGGCCAAAGTGGCTCAGTTGGTTGAGCATCATTCTGTGCACTGAAGGGCTGCCAGTTCGATTCCCTCACGGCACATACCTGGGTTGCGAGTTGGATCCCCAGTCAGGGAGCTAATGGAAGGCAACTAATGAATGTCTGTCTCTCTCTCTCTCTCTCCCTTTCTCTCTCTAAGCATGTCCTTGGATGAGGATTAAAAAGTAAATAAATAAATAAACAAATAATTCCCTAAGTTTAGATTGAAAGGAATAGATGTAAAAAATCTGACCAAGAACTATAATCAGTAAAGTTGGGCAATGGGTACATGCAGTATAGTTCATTATGCTATTCTACTTTTGTAAATATTTGAAATTTTCTATAATAAAATGAACAAAATATGGTTCATTCACATAATGGAATACAATGAGCAAAGAATGAGTCAAAGCAATGCGCAGACACAGACTTCAAGATCTATCATTAAGTTTTAAAAAAGCAAACTGCAGTACTGATTTCTAGTATACTAGTATTATCATTAGCAAAAAGGACACATAACAAGGACATTAGTAGTGGTTGCCTCGGGAACAGGAACCAGGGGAAGGGGTATGTAGCAGGGAGACTTACATGTACCCTTTTGTACTCTGAGTATATCTGTAGGATAAATTCCTAGAAGCAATATTGCCACAGCTAAGGGAACATACAATTTAAATGATGTTAGATGTTTTCAAAATGCCCTCCAAAGAAACTGTACCAATTTCCTTCTATTAACAATGTAGGAGTATAGTTGTTATCATATACCTTACTAACTTTGAATATTACCCATTTTCTTAATTTTTGCCAATTTGATAGATAAAAATATCGTATTTCCTTGCTCTGGCTTACTTTATTTTTTAATTATTTTTAATCCTCACCTGAGGAATTTTTTTTGCATTTATCTTCAGATAGAGCAGGAGGGAGAGAGGAAGTAAGAGAGAGCGAGAAACATCGATGTGAGAGAGACACACTGAGTGGTTGCCACACAACCCAAACCTGGGCCGGGGACAAATTGCAACTGAGGTAGGTGCCCTTAGCGGGAACCAAACCCAGGACTCTCTGGTCTGCCGGCCAATGCTCTAACCACTGAGAAAACTGGCCAGGGCACTCTGGCTTACTTTAAACACACACACATACACTCTTATTATTTCAGTTTCCATGGGTCAGAAGTCCACACCTGGCTTATTTGATCCTCTGTTCAGGGTCTAGTTTACTTTTATTTAATAATAATGTTTCTGCTTTTTTAAAAATTGGACATTTATTTACTTTTCCGGAAACTTATCCCATTTCCTTTGCTCATTTTTCTACTAGTTTTTCTTTTAGTTACTAATATCTGCAAGCTCTCTGGACATTAAGGAAACTAACTCTGTTGAAACATATTGGGAATGTTTTTCCAGTTTGCCCTCTGACTTTATCATAAGAAGCTTTCAACTTTAAGTATCAAACACAGAAAACTTTTTCTTAGTCTTCTTGGTTTCAGGATTATCACCATGATAATATTAAAAAGTATATTCATGCCTGGCTGGTGTGGCTCAGTGGTTGAGAATCGACCCACGCACCAGGAGGTCGCCAGTTCAATTCCCAGTCAGGGCACATGCCCAGGTTGTGGGCCAAATCCCCCAGTGAGGGACATGAGAGAGGCGGCCAATCGATGTTCTCTCTCATCAATGTTTCTCTCTCTCTCCCTTTATCTCTCTCTAAAATCAATAAAGAAATAAAAATAAAAATAAAAAAGTATATTCACACTTTCTTAATCCTTTAAGGATTTTAATGTTTACATTTAAATATCTAATTATCAAAATACTATTTTGAATTGGGTGAATCCAACCTAATTTTGTACCAAGTCTCAAATGGCTTGCCAGCAGTCCCAACACCATTGATTTAAAAGCAAGATCCTGTCCATCTGGTTCAATTCCCGGTCAAGGCACATGCCCAGGTTGTGGGCCAAATCCCCAGTGAGGGGCATGCAGGAGGTGGCCAATCAATGTTCTCTCTCATCAATGTTTCTATCTCTCTTTCCCTCTCCCTTCCTCTCTCTAAAATCAATTAAAAAAAAGAAAAGAAATAAAAGCAAGATCCTACATGATCTACTTCACCCATATACCCAGTCCTGTCCTCTCTCCTAGAATTTTCCCTCTTGCTTACTCCCATTTCAGCCAGTATCTCTCTGTTGCTTCTACCTCAGAGCCTTTGCACTTATTCCCTCTATCTGAAACACTTCCTCAGTTAACCACCTGGCCTACTCTTTCATTTCCTTTTGACTGCTCAAATATCAGCTTATCATAGTGACCTTTCCTATCACACTATGGAAAACAACCTCCTCCCCAACCTTTACCCTGATTTTTCTCTATAGCACTTACCACTTCCCAGCTAGCATGTTAAGCTCCATGACCACAGGGACTTTTACTTATTGTTACATCCCAGCAGGATAACAGTGTCTGGCACTCAAATATCTGTTGAATGAATAAATCTGAAATGTCACTTTTACCAAAAACAAAATTCCTACTAAGCAAACTGAACAAGAGAAATAGATTTTACCTCCCCAGACTTCAACTGTTACCAGGAATAGTCACATAAGGAAAAGAAGGCAAGTGGGGGGAAAGCATGCCTCTTGAAACAAAAGGGTCTGTCAATTTAAGTTGTCAGCAGCCATGAAAATGTAAAAAGTGAAGCATCCTAAAGGCTCTGTACTGAGTACTAATTACGCCTGAATCTCAATATTCAATTCAACTGCATTAAAAACTCACTTCACCAATGAGACCAGGAAGCGATTTTCAATTGACTAGAACCTTCTTAAGTGAATACGAATTCAAATTAAGCCAAAACATGAAAATAAACTGATCTGGCTTGCCTTGAAATGTTTTATACTGAGTCTACCTGAACATAGGAGAAATATTTCTATAAACTAGTGATTGATATAGGTGAGGGGAGGGAACAGGCAAAATAGGTAAGGGGAATTAAGAGGTACAAACTTCCAGTGATAAAATAAGTAACTCATGGGAATGTAATGTACAGCACAGGGTAGAAATTTTCAACCTTTTTCATCTCATGGCACACACAAACTAATTACTAAAATTCTGCAGCACAGCAAAAAAAAAAAATTTTTGCCCATCTTAAAAAAAAAAAGATATAATTTTGATTCATTCACACCAGTCGGCTATTGTTGTATTGGCTGTGCTCATTTTATTTTTTAATCTGACAATCTAAGGGAAAAGAGGTCAGTGTGCCTCTGACTAGTCAGCTACTGCATGTTTTAAAAATCCTTGCAGCACACGCCTGAAAATCGCTGGCATAGAGAATACAGTCAATAGCATAACTTTGTATGGTGATTAAACTTACGGTGATCATTTCATAATGTATAAAAATATCTAATCACTATGTTGGACACCTGAAGTTAACAATATTGTATGTTACCTGTAACTCAATAGATAAATAAATGATTAAAATAAAGTAGGACGAGTTTCTGAAATACCTCTGATAAAAAGGAACCCAAGAAGCTGGTTCCCCCCTTTACCTCTGGGGAAGAAAACTGCACAGCTAGCTGGTGGGTAGAAGAGGAGAATTCTCTATATATAGTACTCTTTTTGCAGCATCTGAATATCAAACCCTGGCAATATCCTAGTTATCGCAAAAGGAAATTGAAGAGACTAGGAAATGGTGCGATTTTACCCGGATGTCAAAGGGGGAGGGCGCCGGACGATGACACCAAGACGCCCAAACGGACACCAGACAGACAGGGGGATGGACGACCCGCCCTCGCGCAGGCAGAGGGCCCTGCCTTCGCAGCACCAGGCCTCACCCCCGCTATCAGCAGCCTCGGGGTCTTCCTCAGCTTTCCGCTTGAGTTTCTGGGAGGACGGGCTCACTGGGGCGTCCCCCAACAGGTACTTATGCTCCTGGCCCCGCAGGTGCTTTAAGTAGCGGTCCTTCAGCGACTGCCACGAGTGCTGAGTCTGCGAGCTTTTCTCCATCGCCTTCCACAAGGCGTTGCCGGTGACAGAGCTGGCCGAGCGAGCATTTTCCTTCACGTAGGTCAAGATGGCCACGTCGTCCGCATCCGTGAAGGCGATCCGCCCCGTGGGCGGCTGCCGCTCGGGCTCCGCGGCGGCGCCCTCGGCCTGCGCCCCGGGCTTCGTCTCTGGCGCCTGGTCGGCCGCCAGGGCCTGGCCCAGCCGATAGGCCTCCAGCTCGAGCCTCTCGTTGCGCTCCACGCAGTCGAGAATGTACTGCGTGGAGATGAAGTCGCCCGAGGCCTCGGCCGCCGCCTCCCCGGGCTGGGCCAGCAGCACGGCTCCGGGCTCCTGCACCCGGCACAGGGTACCGCCGCCGTGTAGGATGAGCGTCGAGAGCCGGCGTTTCGCCGGGCTGGGACGCACGTAGAAGGACATGGAGCTGCCATCTTCCCTCACGAACAGAGTCGAGGAGTGCGTGGGCCCGTTGAGGTCTTTGCCCAGATCCATCGCCTCCGCCATAGCAGACGCAGGGAGCCAGGAGAACTAGGTACAGAGCACCACTGATGGACCTGAAGTACCGCTCCAGACGCCGCCGCTGCCAAACCCTGCACTGCCCCTGCGCGGCGGCAGCGCGCAAAGGACCTGCCCCCTGCCCCCGGAAGAGGCGGGGCTTCCGGCCGCGACCTGGAAATTGCGGTACGACCTCAGTCCTTTCAGTTCGGGCCTCGGGAGAGATGGCCACGGTGCAGGTTCCCAACGTGAGTGTGGACGGGGGCGAGCCAAAACTGAGCAAAAAGTAAGTGATACTGCGGGTCATCAAGGCCCTTGCAGCCGGAGAATCCGGGCTACGAAGTTTCTCTAGGCTCCGGCCGAGGCGGCCATGCCTGGGGCCTTTCTGCTGGTTGGCGTGGTTCGGACGCGCGGGGTCGTAGCCGCCACGCCCCGAAACTACATTCCCCAGGGTGCCCCGGGGTCTGGGGCTGGTGGGGTCCCTACCTTTCGGACTCCTGGAATAAGAGAATCCAGAGAACTGAAAGGTGACTGGAAAGAGAAACTAGAAAGCGAAACTTACTCCTTCCGTTCCCTCCCTATGAGAAATGTGTTCTTTTAATATGGAGCCACGCCACAATAAGGAGGCTGGAGGAATGTTACATACCCTAGCTTTTCAGAAAGACCTTAATTTTTCTTGGCTTCACTAAGGCCATTCTGAATTATGGCCTTACGTATTAAAGCCAGTTGTAGCCCTGGCCGGGTAAATCAGTTGGTTAGAGCATCATCCCCATATGCCAAGGTTGTGGGTTTCATCCCTGGTAAGGGCACATAGAAGAATCAACAAGTGAATGAAAGCATGGATGGGTGGAACAACAAATCGATGCTTCTCTCCCCCTCTTTCCTCCCCTCTCTCTCAGTCTTTCCCCACTTTCCTTCTCCCACCCACCCCCCGCTCTCCCTCCCTCTCCCTCTGCATCCCCTCCTCTCTCTAAAATCAATCAGTAAGTAACATTTTTTAAATTTATTTTTTATTTATTAATTTGTTTTTGTTACAGATGTTTTTCATTTTTCCCCCATTGACACCCTCCTCCCCTTCTCCCCTCCCCCCATCCCCAGCTTTGTTGTCTATGTTCATTGGTCATGCACACATGCATGTAAGTTCTTTGGTTTATCTCTCCTCCCCCCAACCCCCCTCTTCTGAGGTCTGTACCCCACCTCTATGTCTCTGGGTTAATGTTTTTTTCACCACTTTTTTTTTTTGTTTAGTTTGTTTTTGTTACAGATGTTTCTCATTTTTCCCCCATTGACACACTCCTTCCCCCCCTCCCCCCCATCCCCAACTTTGTTGTCTATGTTCACTGGTCATGAATACATGCCTGTTAGTTCTGTGGTTTATCTCTTCCCCCCAACCCCCCCTTCTCTGAGGCTTTCTGGGTTGATTTTGTTCAGCAGTTTGTTTAGTTCATTATATTCCACAAATAAGTGAGGTCATGTGATATTTGTCTTTCTCTGCTTGGCTTGTTTCGCTTAGCATAATACTCTCCTGGTCCTTCCATGCCGTCTCAAAGGATAAGAGATCTTTCTTTTTTACAGCTGCATAGTTTTCCATTGTGTACATGTACCACAGCTTTTTTATTCACTCATCTACTGATGGACACTTGGGTTGTTTCCAAATCTTAGCGATTGTAAATAGTGCAGCTATGAACATAGGGGTACATATATTCTTTCTGATTGGTGTTTCAGTAAATAACATTTTTTAAAATAGAGCTATCAGTTCTAAAACTGTGTCGTGCACCTGTCCATATGAGTTATTCAAAGGATCTGTGAGTACTGAGGGAATGACCAATGTCTAACAGTAGGAACTGTCTTAGTCAGCTGCACTTAGCATTGCTGGATATAATTTTGTTAAGCACCCCAAATCCTTGGGATGTGAAGGTAAATATAAGTAAGTAAAGATTAGTCACTCTTTTTAACTGTGTCTTATATTCTCTACATACTACACTCCCTCTTAACCAGGGTTCTTAACAGAGCATAGGCAATGATTTGAGTGACTTTTTTCAGTACTAACAAGGATTGTACATAAAATAAATAAAACCATTCCAGAAGCATAGGTGAGAAGTAGTCATGACATGCAATGGCTGTTTTAGTGCATAGGGCTCCATTCTCTTGCTGAACCCTGACAGAATTGTACTCAGCTAGTAAAAATGTTTCCTTTTGTGTCTCTGGGTTTATTCTTGAAAAATGAGAAAAGAAATATCTAAATGTATGGTTTGATAGCATCCTAATATATTGTCCTGAGAGTATCTGATAGATCTCTATGTTTGGAACCCAGTCTTAGACTTCTGCCTTTGGGAAGATCAATTGGGCTTTGATCTGTTACATTAGTAATTGAATTTTAGAGTTGTAGATCACAAATGCTTCCTAAGCAAGGTCTTCGGTTGAAAGTACGATTTTAAGGTAAACTAATGAAATTGGCCAGTTTCTTTCTACTGACTTTTCTTAGATAGTCATATCTACCTTTTTTTTTTTTTTTGGTATGTGCCCCTAGCGGGAACCGAACCCAGGACTCTCTGGTCCACAGGCCAATGCTCCAACTGCTGAGCCACATGAGCTGGGGCGTATCTACCATTTTTTAAAGTAGCTTTTATGTGTCAGGCACTGTGCTGGAACTATACAAACATTTTCTCTAATCTCAGTAATAACTTTGCAGGTGTCCATTTTTCAACTTAATAGACTGAGGGTGATTACATACATTGCTGAATTGTGCATAACTAAAGTACAGTCTATCACTGATCCAAAGCTCTGGAGTAGAAATCTAACATCAAACTCCACAGCCCAAGCTCTTTTTTTTTTTATCCTCACTTGAGTACTTTTTTTTTTTTTTTCCATTTACCTTCAGATAGAGCCGGAAGGAGAGAGGGAGGAAGAGAGAAAGAAACATCAATGTGAGAGAGACACATCGAGTGGTTGCCACCCACACAACCCCAACCAGGGCCTGGGACAAACTGCAACCAAGGTACATGCCCTTAGCGGGAACTGAACCCGGGACTCTCTGGTCTGCGGGCTGACGCTCTAACCGCTGAGCCACACTGGCCAGGGCAGCCCAAGCTCTTTATACTGACTGCACCATACCTCACATTGTAAAAGAATCTGCTATTGATGGCATGTAATTCCTCTAGTGCCCATAGACTAAAGTAATGTTAATATTTTCTTGTTTCTTGTTCTTGGAACATCCTTGGTCTGAATCTATTGTGAGCACCATTTTATGCCAGTTATTTTCTCCAAGTTTAAAAACAGATGGGCTGCCTGACAGATGACTGATTTCCAGATGAAAGGCCAAATTTGTTTGAATACAATAAAGAACATGATCCCTGTAATTCTGTTTCCTTCTGGTGTTAAAGTATAAACATAATGTAGCTTAAAACTCTTCCTGACATTTTCCTTTCTTCCTATTCCTAGAGCTCTTAACAAGTCTTATCTTTGACTCAAGTGCTTCTGTGTGGCTTGCTTTTAGCTTCATGTAGAGTTTGCGATTGACAGTGACATTATATAATGCTTTCCAGTGCCAAGAGAGAAAAAGCACATGTTAGGGGCTTCAGAAACACTGTTTACGGTCCTGTCTCCAATTTTCTAGAATGTTGCCATCATTTCTACCTGTAAGCTATTGCTGTTGACTTTTGACCCCAGATATGCATCTTTTTACCATAGTCAGGACTGAGAACATTGTCAGTTCCAGTTGCAGCAGAGTGAGTGGTAGGGGCCGTTGTCAGTTAAGAGAGTCTTAAATAAAATGGGACACTAAAAGGTTTTGCATCCCCCCCAACCCATAAGAATAAGAGTGCTGGTTGGGTTTATGTATACTGTCTGTCCCATCTGATACCACATCTCTGTGTTTCCTGTTAGGTGGTGGTAATCATTAGTTCCAGGGTGTTCTGCCATGTTGACGCAAGCTGCTGTAAGGCTTGTTAGGGGGTCCCTGCGCCAAACCTCCTGGGCACAATGGGGGCAGAGGGAACTGCTGCGACTGGGTCCACTTGCTCCTTTCACAGCGCTTCACAAGGACAAGCCACTTTCTAATAAAAGAAGGTTGGTGCTCATTACCTTCTTTACTGTTCAGGGAGCAAAAGTCCTCCCCTCACTTGGGTCCTTTTCTGTTAAGCCTCTAAGTCTTTGGACTTGTTGCTAAGGAAACAAAGAGTCCTGCTACCAAAACCAATAGTCCTTTCTCATTTTCTCTTTAATAAATTCATATTTCCTGTCCTTAAATTCTTTTTTTTGGTACGTGCCCCTAGTGGGAACCGAACCCGGGTCTCTGGTCTGCAGACCAACGCTCCAGGCGCTGAGCCAAACCGGCCAGGGCTGTCCTTAAATTCTTGAAATGACTTGTGGGTCTTATTTAGAACAGTGCTAAAACAAAACCCTTGTATTAATAAAGAATTTCTATGCCCTGGCCTGTTTGGCTCAGCGGTTAGGGCATAGGCCATGGACCAAAGAATTGTGGATTCAATTCCAGTCAAGGGCATGTACCTTGATTGCGGTTCCGTTCCTGGCCCTGGCTCTGACCCAGGCTGTGCGTGAGGCAGCTGGTCAGTGTGTTTCTCTCACATGGATGTTTCTCTCTCACGTGGTCTCCCCGCCCCCGCCCCCCCCCCCCATCAGTAAAATTAATGGAAAAATATCCTCAGGTGAGGATTTAAAGAAAAAAAGAATTTCTAGTTCAGATTCTTTTCCCTTTCCTGTCTTTCTGGAATTTGTTTGTTCCTGGGATTAATTTGGTTTCCAGTCTTCTTTGGTTGTTATTAATCCTCACCCAAGAATATTCTACCATTGAGCTTTAGAGAGGGAGGGAGGGAGGGAGGGTGGGAAAGGAAAGGAAAACATTGATGTGAGAAAGACACATCGACCAGTTGCCTCCCACGTGACCCAACTAGGGCTGGGGATCAAACCTGCAACCCAGCTACATGGCCTTGATCGGGAATTGAACCTAAGACCCCTCGGTCCAAGGGCCAAAGCTCAACCACTGAGCCAAACCAGCCAGGGCTAGTTTCCAGTCTTATTTCTATCCCCAGGACCTTTTTGGATTATTCTTAGGATTGATTTGGTTTAAAGAGCAACACCTGGTTGAATG